CTTCCCCTCCTGCGCTGTCCCTCCACCCTCCCAAGCATGATGTCCCTCTCCAAGGACCCGTCCCTCCTGGCAACATGTCCAAAGTATGTCAGACGAAGCCAGGAAATCAAAGCTTATGATTACAAAGAGCCACCAGATGGAGCTGCTGCACATTTATTTTCTGCCTGTGCCCTGAACCAGTCATACTATCAGAGAGAACATAGAGTTCTAACGTCAATACTGATGTCTAAATATCTGATCTATGGAATATAGTGTTGAAAAGAAACATTAATAATGTTGTGTTTATACATGATCGTCAAATTTTTTCCTATTCTACCAAAGACTCACTTGTACTTCCCCTACCCCATTTTATCAAAACAGTGTGAAAAAATTATTATGAGAATAAAAGGGACATAAGTTTTTAGTTAGCAGTGCAACACACTACAGACTATGTCACTAGAATCCGCAAGATGATCTGAGGGAGAAAGATAGGAAATCTCTTCCCACGCAAAGTACAGCCTCTAAGAATCTACTGGAGGGTTGACGATGTGTTGGTCCTAGCTTGACAACAATGAGTGAGTTACTATGAAGGCAAAATCACACTCAAAATAGTAAAAACAAATAAGCCCCCTCCAGATTCCTGAAAGTACTGCTGGAATACCGTTTCCCTCTTACAATATGGTTTAAATATGCAGTCCTAGTACTACACTGTGTAACCTATCATGTTGCTAACCAAAAGACTGGCAGTATGAATTCACCAGACGCACTTCTATAAAAATATTTATCTGAAAACTCTTTTGCACTTGGAAGCTGCAGCTTTAGTTAGGTAAAAACTTTGCTTTTAACATGTTACACACACATACACACGGAAACAAAATTCACTGTGATTCAGTGCAACCTTATGCGGCTGCACAGAACTGACCTGCATAGACTTCCAAAGCTCTTTTCAGGAGTAGATGTCACTATCTTTCTCTCAAAGTAGTTGGTAGGCTCCAACCACTAACCTTTCTGTTACCAGCTAATTTTTAACTCAGTGGACCACTAGGGCATACACACATGTGCATGCATACACACACAAATGAGGTGGTTAATTACTCAAATCCAACTTTTAATTACTATTGCTGGGGATAGTCACAGCCAAACTCATGGTAATCCTAAGAGTTTAGCACAGAACTGCTCTGCAGGGTTTTCTTAGCTGCAATCTTAACGGAAGCAGGCCACTGGTATTGCTGGGTGGGTGTGAACTTTAAACTTTAGATGAGCAAGGTAAAAGGAAGGAAAGGAGAACAACTCACCTAGTTCTTCTCCACTATTATAATCATACTTATAAAGTTTAAAATCTTCACCACCTGCAACAAGAAATTCTTTTTCAGGATGAAGAGATGCAGAATTGATGGTTGCAGGAGCTTCAAAAGACTTAATTGGCTCCAAACTAAAAAGAAATGAATAAACAAATATTTATACAGTATGACTATTATATAAAAAATTTAAGGAAAAAAAACCCTAGCTATATTTAAACAATTAAGTACTATAATTGTTAATTGTTACTCAGAGAGAAAATAAAGGAAATTTATTGGACATACCTTACTGCACTATGAAATGCAATAGATCGTCCATAGGTTATTACCAAGATCTCTCCCTCAGGAATATATTCCATACTGCTAACAGACATATTAAAAGTTCGAGATTTCACTTCTGTCATAGTAGCCTGATCCCAAAGGCTGAAAAAAAGGAGGTGGAAAGGAGAATTAGATGATGTTTATTAATTTCGGGGGAAACTTTAAATCCTAATGAAATTTAAAGGTTATTCAGCTGAATGATCACTGTTTAAAACAATACTTATAAAATTATAGATGACAGAACAGAGGCAGCTCCCATAAAATAGCAAATTATTTAGTAGCTTTTAGGTGAAGTCAACTTAAATATTTTTAATGCACCGCCCTCCAAATTCAGCAAACTAGTTTATTAAAACATAAGTGTTTTTTAATCAATTTTCAGCACTGCTTTAAAAAAAAGTGGTTCTTATCCTGTTTTTGAGAATTGGATGACAATGTTATCCACAAAAAAAGGTGTTATAGATCATCCAATTTAGCACAGAATTTCAGGGGCTTCACTGACCACCTACACCCTTATTTGGATATCCAGGTTAAAAACTTCCATTTTAAATTTTAATCTATCCTACAAATAGAAATGGTATAAATGAAATGCAATTTAATCTTTAATATTAGGATACAATTCTTCCTGAATGTTATTTATTTATATAAATTCAAGGTCCAAATAGTTTTCTGAATTTAAAATACTAAAGAAAAATTACTTACCGGACAGTTTTATCATCAGCTGAAAGAATCTGTTTATCCTCACTGCACCACAGAGCCTTTTTTATACCAGAAGTGTGACCACTGATTTCCCTAGGTTCTAAAAAATAAAATAGTTTCATTTTTTATCAGCAACACTAGAAAAATTAGAAATAAAAATATATACTAAATTACACTGAAGCCCAAAGCTCAGCACAATTCAAATATAATATTCACATAGAATAAATGTACCTTTTACTATATGTAGCAAAAAGTGAACTTCCCAATCCCTCTAGGCTAATTTTCTACACAATTAATAATATTCAAAGTAGTATGGCTATATCAACAACAAAAAAACAAAAACCCCTAACAACACCAACAGAAATCCTACTTTTTTTCTTTTTTGATGTGAAGACTATTAACATTTACTGAATATTTACCCTGTGCTTAGAACTTCATAGGCATTATCTTAACATTTTTAATTCAGATTTTATTATAAGTTTATAAAGAACTTAAATTTCCATGCATTCACTATTGCACATTTTGCTCCCTGACCCTCCTCCCCCCTCCAGTTTGCTTTGTTCTTTGGGGGAAAAGTTCTTTCCTTGTTATACAGTCACCTCCCCCCAGACCACTTTACTAGGCAGCTGTTATTCTGGACTCTTGTACGATTTTGTTATTATGTGCGATCGACTTGCCTGTGACTCACAGCAACCCTATGTACAACAGCCCTAAACCCTGCTCTATCCTGTGCCAATCTCACTGTCTCTGACATGCTCACCCCATTACTCCAGTCACTGAATCAATCCATCTCAGAGGTCTTCCTCTCCCGCAATGTCACTCCATCCTCCCAAGCATGACGTCCTTCTCCAAGCAAGGACTGGTCCCTCCTTGTAATATGTCCAAATTATGTCAGACAAAGCTTCATAATCCTTGTCTCGAAAGAGCAGCCTCGTTTAACCCTCTCCAGGACAATCCTGTTCATTCTCTAAGCAGTCCATGGTATATTCAATACTCTTCCCCAACACTACAGCTCAAAGGCAATAATACCTAATCATGTATTCCTTTTATAAAGTTCTCTCCCTCTTCTGTTTCAATGCCATGTACATTATTTATCCCATTTTTTTCTTAGTTTCTTCCCAACCCCCATGCCAGTCCTGTTTTATAACAGTGACATTATGCAGTATTTGTCTTTTTGTGACTTAGATATTTCACTCAGCATAATATCCTCCATGGTCACCCATTCTGTATATTTCATGAGTTCTTTGTTTTTCAGTGCTGTATAATATTCCATTGTGTGAATATATCACGGCTTCTCTATCCATTTGTTTGATGATGGGCACATGGGTTGTTTCCAACTCTACTACTGTGGACAAAGCAGCAATAAATAGGGTTGTGTATGTCCTACTTTTTCAAAGACTACATTCTTAACTGTGAAATAATGCAACAATAATTACCATATTAAAGGAGAATATACACGGAAAGTGAGGAACATAGGACCTGAAATATAGTAGATGCTCTAACTGCTATTATTTCTATTGTCTACACACAGACGGAGAGAAGGATGGGCAATTTCCTGTGTGAATACTGCCTGAGAATCCACTGCAGGGTCAGCTATGGGTTAGTTCAGACTCCACGGTACACAAAACCACCACCATACAGTGAGTGTGGTCTGATGACTTAGTATAAGGAATTGTGTTGCCAACTCAAAGGTTGTTGTTGTTTAATGCCATCGAGTCGTAGACGACTCATAGCGACCCTATGAACGAACAGCCTGAGCACTGTTCGTACATAGAGTTTCTGGAGGCACGCCAACTCAAAGGTACACAGTTCAAATATATCCACCTCCTCTGAGGGAGAAAGATGGGCAATTCCTTCACAGACAATTTACTGCCTCTGAAACCCTGCTGGAGGGCAAGTTACAGGTCAGTTCAGAAGTGGAAGTACTCAGTGAAAGATCCATTTTCGAAGAGCAGCATTGTTGGGGGAAAAAACCAACAAAAAAACCCCCCACCAAACAAAAAAATCCAACTCACAAACCATGAAAAAGTCCTTCTAAGCCCTAAAGGTCTGTTATTGTCTCCATGGTTCAATTAAATGGGGTCAAAGTACCTGGCTATATTTGGCAAAACATGAGCTAGAGTGAAGATCATTTACTGCTATGTTCAATGGAGAATAAGAATTTATAAATGCAATTAGTAGCCTCACCTTAAAAATATTTTAAAGAAATAGAAAGTATCTCCAGGAGAATAATTAATCATCTCATATAAAAGTGAAAAACAAGTGACTTGTCTCAATTACATGCAGTCAATAGTAGAAGCACAAATTAGAAATAGAACTCTCTCTAATCTCCAAGCCTAGTCAATTCCAAATATAACACACTATTCAATCTCTCTAATGTGCTGAAGTGCAAAGATGTCAGTCTGAAGGCTAAGGTGTGTCTGATACATGCTGTGATTTTTGCAATCTCTTGATAATGCATCAGAGAGCTGGACAATGACTAGGGATGATAGAAGAAGAATTGATGCCTTTGAGTTGTGGTGTTGGAGAAGAGTACTGAATATACCATGGACTGCTAGGAAAACAAACAAAGTTGTCCTGGAAAGGGTTAAACCGGGTGGCTCCTTGGAGGCAAGGATTCTGAAAGCTTCATCTGACATACTTTGGACATGTTGCAAGGAGGGACCAGTCCTTGGAGAGGGATGTCACGCTTGGGAGGGTGGAGGGACAGCAAAGAAGAGGAAGAACCTCAATGAGATGGATTGATTCAGTGACTGGGGTAATGGGGGTAGGTGTGTCGAAGATGGTGAAATTGGCACAGGATAGGGCAGAGTTTAGGGCTGTTGTACATAGGGTTGCTATGAGTCGCAGGCAACTCAAAGGCACATAACAACAACAACATTCAGTATATTGGCAAAATCAATTTCCAATATATTTTTCACTCTTAAATTTATAAATTAGTAATAAATGGCCATGACATAAATAGACAAGGAGCTCCGGTGGTCTAGTGGTAAAAAGCTACACTGCAATACTAAAGACCTGCAGTTCAAATCTACTAGCTGTTCTGTGGGAGACAGATGGGCAATTAATCTCCTCCCATGTGATTTACTGTCTCTGAAAATCTGCTGGAGAGTCAGCTATGGGTTGATTCAACAGCATATAACAAAACATATATATAATTTAAAAACAAAATTCTGCTTATCATGCCTTGGTAGCTTTTATATATAAAACACTATCCAAAAAGAAAAAAAGGTGGTATCTATTTAAACTAAAACTTCCATTTAAAGATAAAATTAATAAAAAAGGATAGAGTCCACCAAAATCTAAAAACCTGTTTACCACAGAACTCAACAATCAAAATTAGAAAGGGCAGGGTGAAAAATAATATATATAAACTCGGTAAGTAAACGAGTATAAAATAAAAATTTTATTTAAAAGAATCAAGTAAAGAGCAGATTAAAATTAAAAACTACCAAAAACTAAGATAAAACTAAGCATTATAGCAAAAAAATGGACAAAAAAAGTATTGACTTTATAAAGAATTCTATTAAAATAGTGTTCAACAGAAATTTTATCTCAATACTTTTTAATGTTCACATTAGTTTAACCAAATACCATTTTTCTTATATAAAACTGATAAAGATACAGTATCAGTGTTAGCTAGGAAACGTTATAAGCTATAAATCTATTTTAATCTTATGTTGAAGGACATCTGTAGTATCTATAAATGTCTTCCAAGTATACCTTCTCTGTGTCACACAATTTATTCCATATAAATATCCTTAGGCAATAACTGTGGAAATATAAAGATGTTTACAATAACGTTTTTAATATTAAAAACTTAAGCTGATCAAAGAGAACATGATGAGATGGCTTAGTTCACTTGTATCAACAGATAATAAAGATATATCCTCAATGGGATATGATTAGACATTAAAAACCATCCATAGAACATTATCAGTTTAAAAAAATCTTTGAATAGCTATATTCACATATGTTAATAATGGAAACAATACTGATGTGCACATTTGAGAATTTTCATCTTCCTCACCTACAGATAATCTTTCTTATGAAGAGGGAGACACTATTCAACATCTTTTCCAAATTCAACAGAATAGGTTTTTAATATTGTAGGAAGTTATGTTACAATTACAATGTATTACATAATCAATTTTAATTCTTCTAAAAAGAAAACAATCATTTAAATGACAATAAAATAAAAGCAGAAAAGAGATGTGTATATTATAAATTACCTGCTTCAGGTTTGTTCAAGTCATAGATGCGTAACAGTTTATCTTGTCCCCCAGTTAACAAATAATTACTATCCTGAAAACACACAGAAATAATATGTTGGATAATCATTTTGCTACTCTTTGAAATTTCAACACCATTTTACCCAGATAAAACTCAAGGATTCACAAAGAGAGGAAAAACATATACCAACAATTCTGATATGATACCACAGGAGTTGTGCACTTATAAATGCCAAATCCCTTTAAACTTCCCAAATACAAATACTGAAAATCTCAAATTTATTCTTTTCCTTCTGAAAAGTATATGAGCAAGGTTATTGGAGACTTTACGAGATCTCAATTGTGTGGATTAAGAATCTGATGGTATTTTAAAACCCTCAAAGAATTAAACATAAATAACAAATTTCTATTAGTGGCAAGAAGGTGCACTGAAATCCTGATGGGTTGAATCCAACAGCTCTGTGGGAGAAGAATGGATACTCTCCTCCCATACAATTAACTGCCTCTGAAAACCAAATGGAGGGTTGGTTTCAACTCAACGGTATACAACAACAATGGCAACTGGTCGTAGTGGTAATAGTGGAATATAAGCAATCATATACAGGACCTTTATCATACTCAATTATAGCAATTTAATTCCCTGAAATTAATTCCATTTTTCTGGTACCTGAGTGAAATCCACAGTCTTGACAATATGTTTATGAGCCAGGGTCATCAATTCATCTCCTGAGACAGCATCCCACACTTTGCTAAAAATGAGGGGGGGGAAAAATTTAAGAGAATAAATACAATGGTGGTTTTGATAATTATTATCAACTTAAGTCATGAATTAAATTTATCTAACATTATAAATTTCCCTATCAATAATATTCTTCACATTAGACTTCATTTGGAGGGTCAACGATAAGTTGGTTCCAAGTTTGCTTTGGTTGTATAGTTGGCAGTTCAAACCCACCAGTGGCACTGTGGAAGATGGGCAATCTTCCATATACAGCCTCCAAAAAGCCACTGAAGAGTCAGCTACAAGTCAGTTCCATCCAATGCCATGGCAATGAGATGAGCTAATATATATATAATGGTAGAACAGTATTTTACAAAAGAATTCTCAAATAAAAAAAGTTTAAAGGCAAAAAAGAGAAATGAACTCATTTTAGGAAAGAAGAGTATAAAACGAAAACATTTCATACAGGAAAAATACCTGTTAACAATGAAAAAGTGATGTTCTATAAAGCTTTGTCTCTTAAAGAAATGAAATTTCTACTTATTCTGTGTGTATAAAATGTCATTTATTTTACTTTATAAGTACAGAATAAATAGAACAAGATATAATTTATCATTCTAGACTCAATGGTAGAGAACAAAAAGAAATAATCTAAAGATGGTTTGTGCCTTAATAGCACTTCAGCTGCAGCAGAGAAAAACAAGGATCCTCGCTGGTGTAATGCACTTAGGGTGAGACTGCTAAGAGCAAGATCATTCATCTGGATCCACTAATCACTTCTCAAAGGGGGGAAAGAAAGGCAGACCTCCCTCTCAAAAGATTTACAACCAAAAAACCCATCACCATAAGTCAGAGCTGACATCAAAACTGGTTTGTTGTTTTGGTTGGAGAAGAAAATCCAACTACTCATTTTATTAAAATTAACAGAAGCAGTTAGGGATTAATTACTACTTTCCAGGAGAAAGATGAGGCAGTCTGCTTCCATAAAGATCTACAGGTTGGAAACCCTATGCACTGCCTACTCTAGGGCTACTTTGAGTAAGGAGCTACTTTTACAATTGTGGCTGTAATTTCATTTGGGAACATTTTTCTTTGCTAAATTTATCAGGCCAGGTTCTATCTGTGTGGGGTATGCCTTAGATCTAATGGTTTTTGAGATATACAAAAAGCAGATTAGTCACTAAGAAAGGCAAGCACACATGATGAATGACAAATGTTTGGCCACGTGTACACAGATCACCAAGGAGCCAAGGAATAGAAGCCAAAAAAGACAAGGACCATCCCTCAGAGCCAACAGTGAATAGTGTTCTTTGCTCTTAAGTTGTTATATGCTGTGGAGTTGATATACAGGGTCTACTGATTCAAAATTTGACTTATTTAGACTATTGTTCTTTGGCCTTGCTATCACTCTCTGGGACAAGCTTCTAATACAGCTGCCCTGCAGGCAGTTGGCCAGCCTACATCAACCTCTTCCTTCATTGGGTGTGTTAGCCTATCCACAAGGGGAATGTCTAGTCTCATCACTAAAATGACCAGTCATCAGCAGGATTTGGGAAGTTAATACTAGGAAAGAAGCAGAGAAAACAGCAGACATCCTTGTGCCAGAGGTGTTTGGCTGTTGACTGAGCAGCAGCCTGGATTAATTGAGGGACTGTATTTTGCTGCTGACTGAAAAGCTATGTGAACTAACCGAGAGACTGTCTTGCTATTAACCTGGCTTATGACTGCTATTCACTAAACCTGAACTTTTACTTTATGATATCCTTTGCCTTCCATCCTTCCGCAACCTGTTTCCCTAATAAACCCCCACAAGTGTGAGTAAAGTGATGCTGTAAAGTCTGTGTGAGCAGAACTGGAAGGTGGTGGTCCCCATATCTGATATTATAGGCATTAGGTTTATACTGTGGATGATGGAGAGAGTTCCCCTTTGTGGAAATAGTAGACTTTAGATTCAGCCATCCCTGAGTTACTGTTTCTCTGAGCCACAGCTGACCCTCCAGAGGGTTTTCAGAGGCCATAAATTGCACGGGCAATTGCCTGTCATTCTCCCATTGAGCATTTCTGGTGCTAAGCTGTGCTGCAATCCCACAGTTAAAGGCTACCAGCTGCTTTGTGGGAGAAGGATGGGAAATCTCCTCCCATGTGATTAACTGCCTCTGAACACCCATCAAAGGGTCAGTTATATGTGCTGGTTCCAACACTATGGTATATAACCACCACCTTTGGATTGGGAGCACAACTACTTACTACTAAGCCATCAGACCCCCTGCCCTAGAGTTAGTGCTCTGAATTCTAATTTCTAACCTGCTGATTTGTGAGCAGCAGTCCAGGTTCATAATAGGTAAGCATTCCACTACTAATCAAAACGTTGATAGTTTGAATTCATCCAGCATCTTCATAGGAGAAAAAAACCTGGTAATGATATGCTCCTATAGAGATTATCAACTCTAACTCACAGTTATAACAGAGTAGAACTGCCTCACTGGACTTGCAAGGCTATAAATCTTTCCTCCACAAGTTGTTGGTGGACTTGAATTATCAATTTTCATTTGGCAAAACCACATTTATGCACTGTGCCAGTACACGAAGACACAAGCATATACTTTCATAGGAACACAGAGTGATAAAACTCTATTTATGGCTGGAAAATTACAAAAAAAAAAAATCTAAGCAGTGGAGTTTAGTCTGTTACAGTAGACAAGTATTAGTAGGATGTAAAGAAAGAGGGAAGGTCATCTAATAGGCATACATACAGGTAATCTTTCTAATCAGTATCTTTCTTCAGAGCATTTTTTACACTAGGAACAGGCACTACTATGTTGCTATACATACCTGTAACTTTATATGCAATGTTTCTAAGCCCCACAGACAATGATGGGATTTATAAAGATACTGATAATAAAAGGCAGTAACAATCAACTTATATCAGGAAGGAGTCACTGTAACTTGGTCTTAAATCAGAAACCACCATAACAGATATAACTATGTATCTACTGTATAGCAGTAAATAATACCTACTGATATTACTATCAGTAACATAATATACTGATCTTACTATACAAAATATTAACATACAAACCTTCTATATTATATACTTGGGCCAAGCAGCAGAACAAACATGTTGAGAGAAAAACTGTCTACAATCATAAACAGTACTGCTACTAAACTCTCATTTCTTCTTTGCACAGGAAACCTGCTATGTTCCTTCCCATTTCCAATTAACTTTCTGGCATAACATTGCCTGAGGGTACATATTCTGACCACTTGGGCTAACTCTGACATGTTTTTATTATTCACAACTGTCAATATTTGCTGTCAAGTTAACTATGACTCATAGTGGCCTGAATCTTGCTCTATCTGGAGCCAATCTCTGGCACACCTGATTCCACTGCCACAGTCACTGTGTCACTATATCTCATCCAGGGTCTTCCTCTCTTGTGCTGACTCTCTCTGCCCTTCCAAGTGTGATATCCATCTCCAAAGACTGGTCCCTCTGGTAACATGCCCAAAGTATAGGAGATAAGAGTTTCAAAATCCTTGCCTCCCATAAGCATACCAGCTTCAACCTCTCCAGGAGACACCTGTTTGTTCTCTTGGCAGTTCACGGTATATTTAATACTCTGCTCCAGCACTACAACTCAAAAGTACTGATTCTTCTTTCATCATTAGTCACTGTCCAGCTGCTCTCAGATGCATAGCAAGCAACTGAGAAGACTATATGGGCTGGATCAGCTGCACCTTAGTCTCTAGACTGACATCACCATTCCTTAGCACTCTTGAGGTCTGGACAGCAGACTTTCCTAAAGCAACTGTCTTCCGATTTCCTAACAGTTGATGCCAAGAGTACAGACTGTAAATCCAAGCAAAAAGAAATTGATAACCTAAATCTCTTCTCCATCTATCAAGAAGGGTTAGTTTAAGTCTAGAATACTTATTTTCTAATGTATTATCCAATCACAAGGAAAGAAATGGACACTGGCTGGATGATTGCAGGCTATAAATTAACACAATGAGGCATCAGTAACAATCTTTTATCAGCTAGTCTTGTAGCACTTATTATCTATACAACTTATGAAGACTCTTCCTAAACTAGTTTATATTCTCAATTTCTTACACATATTACCAATGGTATCTGTTCAGTATCTTTTTTTAATCCTAAGAACAAACACACCCCAAGTTTGCAAAAAGAAATCACTTAATTTCTAAATAAAGTTTCAACAAAACAACTTAATTAGGACAGAGGAAGAGGCTTGGTGGTTGAAGGAGACTTGCCTAATTAACTTCACCTACAATGAGATGGATTGACACAGTGACTATAGGAATGGGCTCAAGTGTGTCAGAGATTGGGACAATGGCACAGGATAGGACAAGGTTCAGATATGTTGTTCATATTGTCCTACTGTCACTATGAGTTGTACTCAAATCAACAGCATCTAACAACAACTTGCTTGACTCCTAGAATACCAAAGAGAAAGATATTGTTTTAAGATAGATATTAAAATTGAAGTTAAGAAACATCTAATGACCACACAGGAAAGAAAACTTGGGCCCACCTACTGTCATTGCTTTCTTACATCTTTCCCCCTATACCACAGCATCTAAAAGCCTTATGGGAGTAAAAAAATTCTTAACATTGGTATCTACAAAATTTTCCTTTCATGAAGCATGTCAGTAACTACAAGAATTTCAAAATATCATTGTGGTCTTGCTGATGTGAAAATAGTGATGGTGGTAGCAATCCTTGTTACCTTACACACACACACACACACACACACACACACACACACACACACACACACAGATAGATAGACAGATATACACTATTTTACTACATTTCAGGCAATGTTCTACGTATCTGACAACTAGTGCATTTCATATTCACAACCAGCCCAAAAGGTAGGTACCTTTATTCTTGTTTTCACAGGGATGAAATGGAAAACAAAATAAAATAAAATAGAATCACAATTCAAATCTATTCTATAATGTTTCTACAGTCCACTGCCATAATACCTCCTGTCAACAATAAGACATTTTTACAGACAGCACAAAACACCTATCTAAGGATATTTTTAAAGATGTGAATCTACTAAGTTAACAATGTTCTGTACATGATCTAAACAATGCTAAATGGTTCCTCTGAGAATAAAATAAAATCCTATTCTTTTTAAGACCTTGTTAGGTTATTTTAAAATGTCATATTTTTTCACTGTCTACTTCAGAGTAATTATCATACAAACAGTAATTTCTATCTCATCTATGCCCTTTATTTTTCTGAAGACAAGCAACATAATTTGGCTTGCACAAACCAAATTCTACCATGGATTGACTAGAGGAGGCAAGTATCCTTTCTAACTAGTTTTTACACAGAACAATGGTTCAGGATAGTGCAAGGCTCAGCTCTGTTGTTCATAGGGTCAGTATGAGTCAGTCAACTGGCCAGTACCTAACAACAACCTAACAACTAACATTAAAAAATCAGAACAGGACCATAAAAGCCTAGCCAAACCTACTGCCGTAAGTGGATCCAGACTCATAAGGACTCTTCACTGGGTTGTCAAGACTCAATCTTACAAGAAGAGACAACTCATCTATCACAGGGTGGCTGGTGGATTCAAACCACTGATCTTTTGGTTACCAGCCTCCCACACATTGTACATTATTCCACCAGAACACCTACAACACCATAAAACAGAGATAAAAAGCAAATGTACTAAACAGTCTATAAAGGTCAAAAAGCAGCAGAATTTAGGTTAAAAATATATAGTCTCTGAACTATAATCCAAAAGTTGATCTCTTTTAATGCCAATATGTACATTTATAACATATATAAAAATTGTATTTCTTTTAAACTATCATCTTAATAACTACAGACTAATCATGAGACTGAGATGTCAACAAAAAAATTTAAATCCCTTGAAACATGTGAAATCCAGAGTTATATAAAAAGTTAATCCCAGTATCACATTTTCATTATAAATTGATGACACTTGATTCCAAATGACAAAATTCCTATAGGACTGAACAAAAGTAAGTTTGAAGGGCGGGGCTGGGAGAGAGAAAGCAGATAAGTCACCATCAATTAAATACAAACACTCCACTTTAGAAAAATTTTAGAAAAAAACATTTTAGAAAAATTCCCCAAATTATTTGACGTCAGTGGTATTGAATAAGCAAGGGCCACAAAGAGACCCAAAACTGGCTCCCAACATCAAGAGAGAGTAACAATAGATGGCTAAGAGTTAACAGAAGTTTAAACATAGTATATCATGTGATCACTATGAAGAGGGCACAGATACTTTTTCTTTAATCTTCTAGCTTTTCAAAAGTCACTTATGTCTAAAAAATGCTTTTACTTTTTATTTTTACTTTCCATACTCTAAAATCAAAGGCTACTTTGTAGTTAACAATTGCTAACTTACTGATACTTAAAGTAACATTTTGCTTGAAAGTTGTAGACATTCAAGGATTTATCCAAGGCTAAGCAGTACTTGTTACTTCATAAATATGTAACAACAAGTGGGCAGAACTCTTAAAAAAATCAGATTGGCATTTACAATTTTTCTTACTCATCTCTCATCATTTCAAATTTATCCTATGTAACCACTGCTATCTACTTCTCTTTATTTTTAAGTTTAATTATTTATTAATTTATACAGAGAAAGTTTACCCTGTAGTGTAGAGGCTATGAATTCTGAAAAATCCATTGTTATGTATCCACCACATTCAATTTGCCTTCAATTTTTAATTCTAAACTTGGTATGTCTTACTTTGCATAAAAAGAATAAAGATAACACATTTACAATTGCTCTGTAAAGGAAGATTCTGTTTAGAAAATTTTTAGAAATAAATAAACCATCAAGACTACTTATATTCTCCAGGCTAAATCTAAGTAAGCCTATACATGTCCAACAGATCATGACAATACTAGTTTAAAAACATAAAAGAGGGGCTCAATTAAGAATTGGAGAGAGAAATATTAAGAAAAATATATGCTGAAAAGAGGATGATTCTACATTAGTTTAAAGAAAACAAAAAACCACCGCTCACTGTTGTTAGTTATGACTCATTATGATCCTCTATCCCATTTCCAAGGCTGTAAATCTTAACAAGGGAGTTCTGGGGTAAGTGTTAAGGAGCTATGATTCCAACAGAAAGGCCCATGGTTCAAATCCACCAGCTGCTCCATGGGAGAAACATGGACAATCTTCTTCCATGTAATTTACTGCCTCTGAAAACCCACTGGAGGGCCAACTATTAGTTGGGTCCAACTTGTCGGTACACAACAACAAAACCAAATCTTAACTTTAATCGTACTTCTCCAAGGAGCAGTTGGCAGATTTGAACCACCAGAGATGCCAGAGTCTTTTGACATTGCATTGCAACACCCTTTGAACTATACCACCAGAGCTCTCCTACATTAGTTTAACAACATTAAAAGCCAAAAATCCAAAGCAAGAAAGGTGTAATTCAGCAAGAAAACCTTAATAAAATTAAAGATTATGTGTGGATGCTGTGATAGTGCTAATCTACACAGCCACACTGAGGTCAAATTTTAAAGTGCTAAATAAGAATTTAGCCATTTGGCCTAAAGTTACACATCAGAATCACCTAGAACTACACAGAAGGGAACACAAAAACTCTATAGGGGGATAGTGGGAAATCATCCCCAAACCAATTTAACCAGAATTTCTGGGACCCAGATAATTTCCACAGATTATTCAAATATACAGCCAACGCCATAAATCAATCACTAAAAAAATGGAAGGACAGAGAAGTGATTTAATAGCATGTTTTTAGGAGAGTAACTTGCAGAACGGAAGACTAAGTGACTAAAGGAAGGAATTAAGATAACCTGAAAAAAAGGCAGTGACAAAAGGATGAAGAAATGCTGCAGTAGAGAAACTCTGAAGGTTAAGTCGATAAAAGTGATAATAAAAATGTAAACCTTAATGGATAAAACAAGAATTACTTGGTTTCCAACCATAAAAATACTTATGAAATAAAAGAACTTCACTGTAGAACACAGTGAGTTTTAAATATGTCCAAAGGCAGTTTAGAAAAATTGAGACTGAGAATGCAATCATCAGCATGTAGAAGACAAAACAGATGTTATTACTCAGGGAACACATGTAAAGCAGCTTTTCTAAAAGCATCATCATTCATTATCTTAAATGTCTCTTACTATTGTAGATTTCTAAGTCCCACTCCATATAAAGACACTTAAACTTGTTAAAAAAAAATCTTTAATGTAGAGAAAAGAAATAAACCTAAGGATGAAATTTTGATATAATCTAACCTTACAAACCAGAGTGTTAACGGAGCTCTGGTGGCCTAGAAGCACATGGTTCAAATCCACCAGCTGTTCTATGACAGCACGAAGGACACTTTCCTCTCCTGCGACTTACTGTCTCTGAAAAACCCCTGGAGCATCAGCTATGGGTCAGTTCCAACTCAAGGGCGCACAATGAGGACTACATTACAAAAATATTACAAATTCCGAGCAACAGGTTACATCTGCTAAACAAATGAAATTTCCATTTATAATTATTTCAGAACACAATTCACAGAGGAGTTGACAGTCTGCGATTTCCACCACACTTACGCTGTGAAATCTGCAGCTGCAGTGGCTGCTTTGGTGGCATCCTTATTCAATGTTGCACCCCAAACAGCACCCTTATGACCCAAAAATGTTCCAATCCAGTCTCCAGTATCTCCCTGGCGCAGCATAGGTTTTCCATCTAGAAGGCAAATTGAAAGGCATGTGATTTACAAGATCAGATTACTTGGGATTGAATACTCAAATCATAAAACGACGACGCTGAATGCCAAAAGTGGAACACTGCTGCTGTTGTCTGTTCGCCCTCAGTGGAGTCACTGAGCCATGTCCAAAAATAAATTAACTGAGGACATGGCGGGCCATTCTCTCTGGGAAGCAACTGCGTTATTTAGTAAGAAAAATACTAGTTTACGTAAAAAAAAAACCCAGCATTTTAATGTGTATTTTTGACAAATGTCTTCATCTGAATCTCAGTTTTCTATTTTAAAACCTGGATTAACTACACAAATAACCAGTGGGATAATTAGGAGCGAAAACCTTTGAGAAATACGAGTGTAAGCTATTACTGGGCTGGACTAGCGACCAGTGAGTGGCCTGGCCTAGATTCTCCTCTCCCCTAAAACCCTATAACGATATTGTTCATTGCCGGGGTAGGGGGTTAACAAGGTCAAGTGCACGGGCTAGCTCTTCCAGAAACAGCAAGAAAAGCAAATGAGAGGCCTTAGTGGCGGGCAATGTTCAGCCTAGGCAGAGGCGCTCGAAAAGGAGGTCTTGATTCCGACCACCCCGTCTCCTCCCAGAACAGGCTCAGCCCTCAAAGGCCGGGCAGTACGCGCCCATTTCTGCCCCTCGAGTGCCCGACTCTGCAGCGTTCCTCACCTTTGCAAGCGCTGATTAAGAAATAGCCGTAAGGCGTGATGCCACTGAAGGCCAGATCCACCACGGGCCGCGTGTGGCCCGAGCAGGTGAGCGGGGTCTGCCTCAGTGCCATGGCGGCGGCCGACGGAACGATCCGGCTGCGGAGCTGGGGGGTCGCGGCTCTTCCCTTCTCGGCTGCGGCGCCCCCGCCCAGGCACTGGGACCCGGCCGGGAAACCGAAAACAGGCGGCCCAAGCGGCGGAGCTGAGGTCAGGAAGGGGTTAGGGAGGGGTCAGGGAGTTCTTCAGGGGCGAGCGGCAGCCGCCGAGGGAGGGACAGGGAGGGAGGGAGGAGAAAAGGGGAGGGGGAGACCCGGAATATCGGCCCGGCCTCAACCCGCACCGTCCACACCGGTAGCGGCAGGAAGTGACGCCGAGTGACGCAGGCCGACGCCGGACATGACGACAGGACAAGGAGGTGGGGACGCCGGGTGGGAGGGACCAATTGGAAACTCGGGACGTAAAGGAACAGGGGGCGGGGGGGACGCGAGTTTAGGGAGATTTGAGCACGTGATGCTGGGCGGATCGTGGTGGCCGCCTGCGCTTGGCGCGGATCAAATCGGTTTCCTGAGCGTCGTGTCTCCCGCTGGGCTCTAACTTCCCGAAACTGGCTTTGCTAAGGCACCGCATTGCCGCCACACCTAGAACTCGCGGGAGCTTGACTCTTTCTGCGCCCTTTCTGCATGCTGTGGACTTGAAGGCCGCCTTGGATCACTCGCTTTGTTAATCCTATCCGTTGAACCGTACTCTGCATCCAAGTTGCTAGTCAAGCCGCAGTCATTCCCAGGGATGAGCAAAACCAGCTATTATCCTCTTCACCTTTTTTCAAGTTTTATGATTTAGAGCTGTATAGAAAGTTCCTGTAGGAGTTCTCTACAAGTAAACTTAAAAGAGGTGATTTGTTGTTTTTTTCTTTATAAAAGTAATCTCCCTGGCATCTCATCTGGAGTGTAACTTTTATTATTGCTAATATTTTAGATAGCCTAGTATTTAGTTAGATTAAGGAGTTGAACTGCCAACTGGTAGATGGTAGGCTGTAAATCCTACCTTGCGATTGATAGCCTCTGATTGAAAGGTCAGTTATGACAAACTTGACAAAGAAAGTGTTTTAGAAAAAAATACTAGGTGACTTTAATTAAAATCTGAGGATTTCAAGCTTCAATTTTTTTATTATTTTTATGAAATACCAATTAAATTTGAGCCTTCCAACATACGTATCTCTCACACATTGCCTTGGAACCTGCTCATATGTCTCCATTGGGATTCCAAGGCTGTAAAGTACAGAGAAAAATTGCCCTTCCTTGTCCCATGAAGCCACTGTAGTGTACCCAGGAATCGGAACTGACCCATAGCTGACCCTCGGGTGGGTTTTCAGAGCCATTTAATCCCAAAGAGGAGATTGTTCATCCTTCTCCGCCAGAGCAGCTGGTAAATTCAGGATTGCAGCACAGCTACTTAACACTAGGCCACCAGATTCTATTCCCTTGGCCGTTGAGTTAGCACAACTCCTTTATTCTATGCCGTAAGAGCTTCCTGACACACATATAATAGTCTAAATTATAAAAATATGTGTATTTGTAAAACAGACAAAAATGGACGCTTTAAAAGATCCTTATAAACACATATGGGAGAAAGAAAAAAAAACCCGGACAGACAGAAGGTTGGACAAAGAATACAATTAGAGTTTGTTGTTGTTAATATTATATGCCAGGTATTCGCCTATAAACTTTTGTACAGCGGCTCTGAACCCTGCCCTGTCCTAAGCCAGTATCACAAATTCCGAAACACCAACCCCCGATTGCCCCAGTTCCTGTATCGGTCCATCTCATCTGGGGTCTGCCTCTCTCCTGCGCTGTCCCTACACCCTTCCAAGCTTCAAAATCCTAGCCTCCAAGGAGAAACTTGGTTTCACCCTCAAAATGAGTTTTTATTATAGTCCTTTTTTTACTTAATTTGAATATGTTTTAGAGAACTCTGTCATTAAAAATGGAAGAGCCCTGGTGATACAGTGGTTAAGTACTAGGATGCTAACCATAAAATTACAAACCTCCTTGAGAAAGATGTGGCTGTTAGGTTCAGTAAAAATCCAAGCCTTAGAAACCCATTATGACAATTCTACTCTGCCCTGTAGGGTCACTATCAATCAGAATCAATGGGACAGCAATGGATATAGAATAATTGAAAATTATATCCACACATGTTTTATTCCCTATGGTTATTCTATTCTCTCCATCTCTTTGTTGTTGTTGTTGTCAGATGTCATCGAATAGGTAAGGACTCATAGCTACCCTACAAACAATGATCTGAATCTCACCATCTCCTGCACCATCCTCATCATCAGTGATATAATTTAGTTCATTATTACAGTCACTGTGTCAATCCATATTGCTAACTTAAATCCATTTTGGATTGTTAATTTTGCTGTTCTCAAAAGGACAATAGTAGCCCCATGACAAGACTATTTAAAATGTTCAGTTCAGCAAGCAATCAAGTACTGACTCCATTTAAAGTTTAATAAAGCTTAAAACGCAGTTAACTATTTCTTGAAAAAATTGGTAATTACTAGTTTAAATCAACTAGGAAGGAATGAATATTCAAGCTTAATGTAACTCCTGACTCAAATACAAGGGGAAATAGATTAAAAACTTCTGAAATGTACTTGGGAAACTGGTTATTTTTCATTCTCTTTGTTAGAGGACATTTCTGAGGCATCATTTATCAAATCCAATGCCACTCACCAGATGACTTAGTGCTACATGCTCAGAGCCTGATAGGAATTAACTAGAATTAAATATTCGGGATGTAACAGAAATGCTTCCTTTCTGTAACCCAATTCTAATGCCAACAAATATTAATACTGCCTTCAAGGAGATAGTTTTTCTGATATTTATTTAGGTTTTCCAGAATTCATTTAAAATTTACAAAACTGGTTTATGTCAGAAACTCTAAAAGTTAGATTGGCCTCCATCAGGCGTGTGAGGAATGGTCTCTACTACCCTAATTAAGAACATATGGTCATCAAGAGCTGTGGGACCAATATAAGAAATAAAGGGGGAGCTCTGGTGGCCTAGTGGCAAGAAGCTGCAACTACAATCCCAGAGGTGCAAGGTTGGAATCCACCAGATGCTCTTCCAGGGAAGGAGGGGCAATCTCCTCCAGTACCAGTCAGATCTGATTTGACGGTACATGCACAAAAAAATAATAAAATAAAATAAAAATAGAGCAAGAGTTTTCCACACTGTAACGTACCCTGGGATGGTGGGAGAGAGAGGGTGGAGACTGTGGCACGCTGTGAAGAGATTGTGGAAAGTGTAACCAGAGGACTCCTGCATTTATTCTACAGTTAAAGATTTTGCTTGCTGCATAATTGAAGGAAAAGTTAACTTATAACTGCTCTGAGATAAAATTTGCTGGATAATTGAGGAAACCAAAGGCTTCTTGCATTTGTGCTGCAAAACTGAACCTGGACTGCCACTCATTGAGAAATTGTGCCTTGTAAATCTGGGTTGGGATTACTGGACGAAACTTGGACTTGCATTGTGTAATATTATTTGCCTTCCCACTCTACAAATTATTTCCCTAATAAATCCAACAACAATGAATATCAGTTCCAAATGATTGGTAGAAAGAGGTGGAAGAGCCTTGGGTGTGGGGTATGGCATGTCTGACCAAGCAGCTATTTGTTTGCTGCAATAGATATTATTGATAGGGACACTGTTCTGGATATTATTGATGGGGACAGTTACCCTTTATGAAGTGAATAGAAGTCAGACTCATCCACCCTCACATTGCCTCTGCTCCTTTTGCAGGTTATATTTTTGAAACATACTAGGCTTATGAATGGGATGCTTCAATCAGATTTTGAAAGGACAATTGATCTATATACTCATTTGTTTCTACCATTTACATATTCCTTATGCATGGACAAATTACATAGATTGTCAAAGTTGATCACACACACACACACACACACACACACAATGTAAAATAGAAAAAAACAAATCTGTCCTGGAGGTATTATAAACAGGATGTTGCTTAGAGTCAAGGATGGTGAAACTATATGCTGGGCATGTTATCAAGAGGGACCAGTCCTTGGAAAAGACATCATGTTGGGAAAGATGATTTGACAGAGAGCATTCAGGTAGGGTAGGTTGCCCTCCCCAGTGCTGGGACAGCAAGCTTCCCAGCCAAGGCATATCTTCCAGCCAGCCACAGGACCAGAGATAACTTCAGGCTTTCTTATACCTAGTCTCATGAGAAGATAACAGGTACCCCACAAACACACATTGCCAAGACATGGGGAGGAAAGGGTCCCAGGCTGCATTGCTGGGAAGTTCTCAGCTCACCTCTGAGGCTGTGTGCTAAGTGGAAAGGGCCTCTCCCACCTCGCCTCAGAAGACACAGGTATACTGCAAACACTGACCACCAAGACTTGAGGAAGAAAGGGTCCCTAACAACATTCCTGGGACTTTTCTCAGCTCCCCTCAGAAGCTTTGTCTTCTCAAGGGAGAAACAGTCTGTCCCCTCCCCCCCACACACACAGCAGGCAAGGTCAAACATGGGGGAGGGAACCCAAAATAAACCTAAAAAAAGCAGACCCGATTGAGGACCCAATGAATATCTCAGAGACAGAAAGGCAGAAGGAATATGCCAACATGAAGTTCCAAGAGCTGGTATTGATGAAATTATAGATGTTAGAAGAAAGAGTTGAAACAATGCAAGCAACAAGAAATTAAAAAACCAACACAAGACAGAGAAGATGCAACACAATATTAGAAACAACAGAAAAGCATGGAAATACAATCAGAATATCAAGGCCAAAAGACAGACATTCTCAACACGTTGGAGGCACAAAAAAAAAAGAAAAAAGATGGAACAGAGAATCAGTGAAATAGAAGAACCTCAGTGAGAACTTACAAGAAGAAAAAAGTGTGAGAAACCAGAAGGAAAATTAAGAAAACATTGGAATCATGTGGGATGACATCAAACAAAACATCATACATGTGACTGGAGTTCAAGAAGAGGCTAAAAAAAATTGCATAAGAGGTGCTAGAAGAAAACTTTCCAGGTATTA